GTTCAAAATACATAAGGATATTATGTAGTATCCTTTAATGATATGGTGTGTGACGCGGTGACTATCACATTTTTGGTTAGTGACATACTTTCCTTCCTAAATAATGAATATGATAATAGGGGACAACGGCCTTGTGATCCAATAGAGAATCTACTTGTCTGTCTACTTATGATTAACCTATCTTTATTATGCGAACATCATAGCAGGAACTGTTCATTTTTTTTATCATCTAAAGATCATATCTAAAAAATAAAATAAAAAATCATTCAATTTGGAGATCCTCCTATGCATAAAAAAATGAACGGTTCAACATGAGAATGCTACTTATTACCAAAATTGTCTATTAGTTTGACACATATAGATGGCTAAATAATCTCCAAACCAAATGGTTTTTTTGCAATAGGATCTTTAGATAATGATAAAGAGAATGATCAACGATTATGGTAACGATGTTCGTACAGCCAAGATACGTTAATTACAAGCGGTGGATAAATAAGTTCACCCATAAGGGGAACACAAGCATTGTTGCATGATTCTTAATAATATCCATCACATTTGACAGTTTCCCTAAAATGTTGCAAACTTGAAAATAAAAGTGAAAATACTAGAACATCTCCAATGGAAGACGAAAACATGAGAATTAAAGGCATATTTACATCTCCATTTACAATTTTCAGTGGATAAAAAGAGAAAGAAAGACAAATAGTAACACTATGTTTGGATGAAGAAATTTAAAATTACTAAGGAATTTTAAAATGATGGAAATTGAAATGACGAGATTTTATTTTATAGAATTTGTGAATTTTCTTGTTTGGTTAACCTAAAAAACAATGGAATTGAATACGGAATTTGTTATTTTTAAACTCTCAATCATAGAAATTGGAATATGACACCTATTTACATGGAATTTAAACTTGAGAATTAGAGATCCCAAATTCCAAGTTTTTTTTCCATGCAAAAATTCTAAATTTCTATGTTTATGAATCCAAACAAAGAAATTGGTGCATGTTAATTTATAAATTCCGAATTTTACCAAATTCCAAGTTTATTTCCCTCATCCAAACACTTTGATTTTTAGGAATACGAAACCTCTCCCTACCAAAATTCCTATGCTGGCTGCAGTAGTGGGGAAAAAAATATTTTCAGGCCAACCAAAAGGAAAAGAAGAGGGGGCAAGATAATAACCAAACCAATATTAGATGGAAATCACCAGAACCAAACACTTTAAAGATAAACTTTGATGGCTTCGTGGTGGTTGACAAGGCTGCTGCTAGCTTTGTCATTAGAGATGAAAATAGAATCCTATTGTTGCGGGTGCAAGAAGTATTGAGGAAAACACAACTGCAGTTGTGGAGGCTCTAGCATTGCGAGATGCTCTGAATGAAGGAAACTAAGTTCATTGAGCAACATAGTACATGCATTTAACAATTAAATGGCAGAAGCATGCTTGTATGCACTCTAAAACATAACTTAAACCATGAAATTTAAAGTCTAGTAGTGGTGGTGAACCAAGACTCAACTCAAATCACAAAGAGAGTTGAGAAACTTTATACCTTTGTAGCACCTCTTTGCTTAGCAAAGGTTAATCACTCATGAGAGTGCCTTCTTTACTTTGCATCCTTACTCCTTGGCTCCATGGATATTGATGGACAAACTTTGCTTCTTGGCTCCTTGTCATCTTGGATTTAGATGAAGGAATGGGTGAAGGAAGAAAATGAGTGGCTTTGGAGGAAGAAGATAAGTGGCATGGGAGGAAGAAGTTGCTAAAAACCCCCTCCCCCATGTGGCCAGCCTCTCTAAGGAGAAAAGAGAAAATGTTTTCTCATCTTTCCTCAAAGAGACTCTAATGATGTTAAGGCTATAAAGTTGACTTTTACCCATTTCTAAGTGAGTGAGAAAATTGTAATAAGTGAACCATCACTAACCCTCTGGCATGGCTGGCCTTAGTGTGTTTAGCTAGGTAATTACTCATTTTATTGTAGTTGTTACACAACTTAAAGCTTATGTGCCTTGTGAACCAAAACCCATTTGGGTTTCGAAACCCAAAACTAACTTAAGGCCTAATACGAACCTTTTCTCTTTAATTAATTAACTTTGAATTTGTCTTTGCCTTATAAAATTAAACTTTTTAATTGTTCTTACTCATCTTCATTATATTTTTCAATCATTTCCTTACACGGTTTGCAATTCATTAGGCTCATTTTAGCGAGGTAGTGGATGATTGAAACTCTTACTAATTGATTATGAATTGAAACTTACTTTCAATTCTCCCTTAGTGATTCTCCATCTTCAGAGCTTCCACAAACTATAAGTGACACCTATAAGTATTTCATAACACCCAAGCTAATCAGAAGAGGTTGGAGAGCTTATTCAATTTGGGATTACAATGCAATACAGTCTTTCTCTATTTCAATACTCTTGATTACATTGTTTGGTTGATAGTTCAGTCATGTCTATTATCCAATGTGATTCTTTTGCCTATATGATTACCTTGAATGTGATTTGGAACGACTTCCTAAATCTCATCCATGCTTTGGCAAGAGATTCTTAATCATATCATAGAGTATTCTCCCACAACAGTTTGAAGGTTAGAGTTCCTTTGTTGTACATTCACATGCTCACATGATTAAGTACCTTAGCCCAACTATGCCGTGGACATCCTCAAATGAAATGCCTTTAACACAGTCAAATACCTAACCACAAGGCAACTATTATGTCTCAAGTCAAAATACTATTTTGCATTATCCCAACCATGAGTTCTCGTGTGACATGACTACGAGAACTCATTGTTGATCGCGTTCAACAGACTCACTCTCTATTAAGCATCTACATACTTGTCTTGGTGTCATTCACACCAATAACTCGAGACCAATCATTTTCCTGAGAGAGAAGACATAAATTTATCCAGATTGTCAATGCCCAATTAGTAATCCTATGATCATGAACGTTTAGGATATGTGAACTAAAGAGAAAGGTCTCATGAATCTAAATTCTTGAAACCACATTCTTTTAATTACATATACCTTGGGCTTATTGTCTAAGCGTATAACATTTGATGATACGACTTTAAACAATAATATTTGCAATTACATTAAACTAGATTAGCTTAATATGTTAAATGTTTGTAAGGTATCATCTTATGATTGACTTTAGGACACATTTCCAACACTAAAAGCTACACGAAATAAGGGGTTCAAGAATGTCTGTGCGGAAGGTGATTCTAAGCTAGTCACTGAAGTGGTTGAAAATAGGTACAAGACCCCTTGCATAATACATTCAATTATCTAGGATATTAGAAGGTTGGCAGCTTCTTTTCAGACTATTTCTTGGAGTCACATATTTTAGGAGACCAATTTCCTTGTAGATGCTGTTACTAGTGTAGGAATTAATATTAGAGATACCTATGTTTTGAAATGCACTCTTCTTGCATGTGTCAATCTTGCTTATGCTTTTGACTGCTTGGGAAATAATTGTTGTCACATCCTGGCCCAGGGCGGACCACTTCCCAGGCCCGCTCCACCACCGTAGCATAATATTGTCCGCTTTGAGCCCCGACCATGCCCTCACGGTTTTGTTTCTGGGAACTCACGAACAACTTCCCAATGGGTCACCCATCATGGGACTGTTCTGGCTAACTTCTCGCTTAACTTCAAAGTTCCGACAGAACCCAAAGCCAGTGAGCTCCCAAAATGCCTTGTGCTAGGTAGAGATGGGAATATACATTTAAGGATCACTCCCTTGGGCGATGTAGGATGTTACAATCCACCCCCCTTAGGGGCCAGACATTCTCGTCGGCACACTTCCGGCCAGGGATTGGCTCTGATACCATTTGTCACATCCTGGCCCGGGGCGGACCACTTCCCGGGCCCGCTCCACCACCGTAGCACGATATTGTCCGCTTTGGGCCCCGACCACGCCTTCACGGTTTTGTTTCTGGGAACTCAAAAGCAACTTCCCAGTGGGTCACCCATCATGGGAGTGCTCTGGCCAACTTCTCGCTTAACTTCAAAGTTCTGACGGAACCTGAAGCTAGTGAGCTCCCAAAAGATCTCGTGCTAGGTAAGGATGGGAATATACATTTAAGGATCACTCCCCTGGGCGATGTGAGATGTTACAATTGTACTCGTGGTTTTTCCCTTTAATGAAGTTATTTTCTGAGCAAAAATAAAGTATTGTCTTTATCCTTTTCTCAAAACTCTTGAAACTTCATGAAACTATTGCAAGTTATAACGTGGGAATTTTAATTCTATTGTAACTCTCGAATTACTTCTTGATGCTTTGTGAAGGTTCGTGTAACTTCGCCATATAAGGCCTACTATTTTTATAATACTTCCTATTTTTCCTTATAAAGTTCTAGACTCTTCGTAAAAGTTAAGTACACGAGAATGTATCATATCTTTTTTTTTTTTTTAACGATTAAAAACTACTTCTCGAGGCTTCTTGGTCTATGTGTTATATCAAGTGTCATAACTTTCAAAACACGATAACACATTATGTCAAATACTTTCCCTTAACTCTTAAATTATTTATTGATGCTTTGTGAAGGTTCATGTAACTTCCCCAATTTACTTCAAAATATTCCAAAATCCCCTATTTATATCTTCTAATTTAATAAGTATTGCAAGAAGAGAAATAATTGCCAAGTACAATGTCATTACAAGTTAACAGTTGTCAATTATTACATCCAAATTAACCGTAAATTCATATTTGTTGTGCGTTACAAACCCATTTATTACATCCTACGTTGTTAAAAAAACAACAAAAAATAAATGGGTCCCGTTTTTATCCTAATTTCCTAATAAAATGATTCATGTACATACTTTTATGAACAAATATATGCAATAATATCAAATAATTGAACGAATAAACAAAGTAAAAAGTATGAAAAGAGAAGGAACCAATTGGAAAAGCGCAGGTGAGTTGGGTCCCCCCCCCCCCCCCCCTCCCCCGCGGGCGGGCCGGAGCTCACATATTGTGGCTGTGGCTATATGGCTGAGTGTTGTAAAGCCTCGGCTTTCAGATGCTCCTTCCTCTTCCTCTCCTTCTCATCCTCTATAAAAGCTTTTCTCTTTTGGGTTTAATTGCTACCTCTCTCTCTCACTCTCTCATATCTGGCAGCTTTGGTTACCATCTTCACCTCTGGATCTTCTCCTTTGGAGGTAACTTTGGCTTCAATTCTCTCTTTTAATCTTTTTTTTTTTTTTTTTTTACTTTTAATTTACAGATGATGAAATTATATACTTGGTTGCAATTATTGTGTGAAAAAATGATGGAAATTTAGGTGCCTGCATTAACAAAAATTGAAAAGTGTGTGTCTTTAGCAAATAAGAACAACACCCGAGAAGCGTTTGCTTTTATACTTTTCCCACAGTTATAATCTGGGAAAAAGAATGTGAATTTTCTTAGCATAAATTTGGAACCTTTATGTACGTATTGGATTTCCAAGGCTTAGAATTTGATTAATTTTGATATAACATATGAAAAGATGGACTCTGATGAGTTGTTGGGGTGTCTTGGCTGTTTAGGTGATTTCTGATATGCCATTGAGATCCTTGATATTTTCGAAATTGGGTAGAGTTTATAAGTCTACTTATCATGCATGGTAGTGAAGGAACTAGTGAGCTAGCTTCACATCCTTATGAATCTGTTTGGATGGCTCATCGGAGGTGCACAAGTTGTAAGTCAGAAACCGAAGCATGCGGCCATGTATCGATTCGTTATGAGGAGGCCCAACAACACAATCATGGTGTTAAGAAACATTCCTTGTTTAGAGGGTTTGATGAAGTAACTGAACCGAAAAGAGTAAGAAATATTGATGAGGGCCTCGGTTTGACAGAGAGTTCGAAGAAAACAAGGAAGGAGATATGGGAAGGCCAGTCCTTTCCAATGTTCAATCTTCCTCCAAAGACTAGTGTGGTTAAACTGAATCAGGACAATTCTACTTTCCATGGGGGATTACTTAGTGAGAATAGCCCACCGGCAATGCCTGTCTGGACTCCTACTGATGCATGGGCTCTGGAAGCCGCCCCACCACCTCCAGAGCGACAGGTGAAATATCATAATTTTCTTGAGAACAATAGCCTAGCTGTTTCCAAATCTTTTCGAGTTGAATCAATGAGATCAGATTCCAAAATTGTGCCGCATCCATCTTTCCTGTGTAGTGAAGAGGAAATTAATCTATCCAACTCTTTTCTAGCACCTCGACAACATGCCACAAGCACTTATAATCACACAAGGTCCACATTGTTGGCCCATGAGAATAACTTCCATAACAATTTTGTCTCTACAAGATCAGGGGGTTCATTGCCAAGGCAGAATGATATGGTTTTGTTACAGCATGACCCCTCCACAAGCAGTATGCAGCAACCGAATTATTTCGGTAAGAATTTCCTAGAAATGCAAAATCAGTCTTGTATTGGATTGCTTTCAAGCCACGCCAGCCCCCCAGAGGTGACCGGACTGGAAAAAGTATTTCACGGATCCGGATCTCTGCCAAGCCTGCAGCGTTCTGTGCATAACATAGAGACTATGAGAATACGCGCCACTGTCAACGCTGATGAAGAATTATCTAGGGGTCCTCGTATGTTTTCAAAGACAGCTCACCATTTTCAGATCACGAAAAAGACTGGTGTTAACTTGCCTGAAGTAGGTCAAATGTTTGGACGGTCAACTGTATCAACAAAATTGAAAGGAAAAGCTTTCAGTAATCTTTCTGGTTTTTCCACGGAGTATGGTCTCCCTCCTCAACCTAGATTGAAGCTGCTACCTTACAGGAGCTCTACAGATACCGACGGAGAGGAAGATGTAAGAGTTGTCAAGGCTCAAGCACTCGAATCATCATCTGAAACAGATATTATGGACATGGATGCTTTCCAGGATAACCTTCTTTCTGGTACTACACACCCTATCTCATATCGTTCAGGAATCTCAACTTTGTTGAACAATATTTATACCATCTTAAATGTGTAGGCTATTTAGCTTTTACAGCATCATGCTTGGATTAACTCGTGTTTTAAAAAGTAATTATCACTAAGTTCATATAGTATAAAAATATTATAAGTTTTCAGTGTATTGTTGTTTCATCATGTCTTTCGGCTAATAATGGGTTTTGCTTCTTGTATCAGGTGTGGCGGTAGTATCCACATCAGACAAGGTAACTTTTATAATTCTGCTTTGTGAATATTTGTTAAGTAACATAGTTTTGGAATCACTATTTGTTCATCCAAAACACTTTTTATGTCGCATTCCCAGGAAACTGGCTTTTAAAGGATCACACTATGTTGAACTGAATTTAATAATATACTTAGCATAGTACTAAATTGCCTTTCTGATTTTTGAATTTTGTAGCATGTTGAGAGTGGCAAGAAGTCACCAAAATCTCGATCAGCCATCGCTTCAGGTAGAGAAGAGAACGGAGCTAGACTTCCATACACAAAATTACCGGACATAAATCAAGAGCTTCCTGATTCAGCAAAAGAAAGGGAGACGAGCACTTCAAGAACCCAGAGTTTGGATGTCGAACATCTCCTTTCCCATGCTGAGCATCCCACAAATTCAAAATCCAGATCATGTCCAGAAGGATCTCAGGGACCAGAACCAAGCAGCAGGTGGGTTAAACGGCTCAAGTTGACGGCTTCTCAGTCTGTTCATGGTACAAAAAGCTCAAAAATGGGAGAAGCCTCTTCACCTGAAAAAGTCAAGAAATCTTCTAACTCAACTATGAAGTGCAGTATAACTAGTTCACAACCTGCCACCGGCAGATTTCTTGGTAAAGAACAGATGGTGCCAGATCAAACTGCAATGGTATTAAGGAATTGTGAGTCATCTCCCATTGACTCCGCCAGGAAAGGTCCAAATATAACGCTGTCTCATCCTTGGATTCGGAGGTGGTCTAAAGTAGCATCCCAAAAGAAGTTTGAAGCAGTGGTTGCTTTTCAATCGCAATGTTTGAAGCCAACAGTGGATGAGTTTCAGAAGAAGCAGTTTCCAAGCATCGCTGCTATGGCACTCATGGGAAAGGCTATGAGTGGTTTCCATCCATGTGAGTTTGCAAACAAGGGGTCTTTTGTAGTTTGGAATACCAAGGGATTTTAAATAGACAAGTCATGCAACTCCAGAAACAAGAGTATGGTAGACAAAGCATGGGAATATGATTGTCCAACTGATGGTTAGCGTTTGCTTGACAAGGATAAGGAATGCATTGTCCATGTTTGAGAATCCACAAAGATGGCTGATTGTGGAGTTTGTAGATTATGAATGTCGCATCGGTATGTATCCAACTTGTAATGTTGGTTTCTTTTTTAGTTTTAAAAGTCGGTAAACAAAGGGATTGATTAGCGGCCCTAGTTTATTGAGTATGGCCTCTACAATGGGGGATGAGAGTGACTGTGTCAACTTCTCTTACTTAAATTGAGTAATTGGAAACTGATCTGCTAGTTGTGGTTCTATTGCTTTTCCAAAATTCTGGAAGGAATGTCTCTAATGCTTAGCAACCAAACACCGAAACTACAAAGAAAATAGGTCATCTCGGTGCATATGTCATAGACAATGTTCCTTGTGATTGTTAGGCAGGCAAGAAAGATAGTACCTGAAGCTCTGGAAGAATCGTGGGTCGTGTCCCCAAGAAAGATAGTTCTATTGCTTAGTTTTTACAATTTACTATAGTTTGGGGCAATTATACACTTCAATTACTTGCTTTTTCTGAATGAGTCGATTATGATTGGAGTAGACAGAGGAATCATTTATGCGGATTACATTGATGGCCAACCGTACAGGATATGGTCCAGAGATGCTGTTTAAGCTGATGATGCAAGGGAGGTTTTGATAGAGACGAGTTCAGGACCGACTGTGCAGTGAATCACTTCCATGTTCAGTTTTTCTTGAACTAGCGGCTTCGGCTACTAAGTTCTAAGTTTTGGTAAACAAAATGTGAGAGAGTTTTACAATCGTGTGCTGTATTGGCATTTGGTTGGTCTCCTCAATTCTTTGCTGCTTGATACTTGGTTTGAGTCTATGAAACATACCATCAATTTTCTTTGGTTGATAGATTGCTGATCTTTTTATACCTCTCAAATATTTGGCATTCAGAACGATCATTTTGGTCATGTTTTTTAAAATATTACCAAACAAGTTTTTTAGTTTTCAAAAAAGCTGAAAACTGTAAGTGAAAATACTTTGCCAAAAGAGTAGCTTTCAATATTGAAATTTAGAGATAATTTGTTTTTGAAAAATGAAAAAAAAAAAAGTTATTAAACGGGCCTTTGTAGCTATTGAGTGGCATTGTGATTGGTTTCTCATGCTTTCTTTGGCTACCCCAATTGGAAAAATAGATCTTGAAGATCTTTTCTCAACCTATGCAGGCCATATTGAGGCCATCTCCAATCGAGGGCTGGCCAGATGGCTCGTTTTAGCCCTTTGGCCCTCCAGGATATTAATATTTTAATGAACAATACATGGTCATATTTGCCTCCATCTCCAACCGAGGGCCATAGGGCTCGTTTTATCTATGTCACAAAAAGTCGTCTCCAACCGAGGGTCATAGGGCCATAGAGCCAAACATAATTTTTATGTTGGTTAATGTTATTTAATGTTGTTTCATATTGTTTAATGGTGTTTCATGTCACTTAGTTTAATTTAATGTTGTATAATGGTTTAGGAAGTTATAGGAAAAAAATAGAATTTAAAAAAAATATGAAATTCTTTTGTAAAATAGAATTTTAAAAAAAAGTATGAAACAAATTTTGTGAAATAGAAGTTATAGGAAAAAATGGAATTTAAAAAAAGTGTGAAACAAATTTTGTAAAATAGAAGTTATAGGAAGTTATAGAATTAAAAAATAGAAGTTATAGGAAAATTTTTGTAAATAAAACTGTAAAAAAAAAATTCAAAAATAACGGCTAGCTGACGTTAGCTAGGCGTTATATTCAAAATTTTCCCTACTATTCCTGTCGGTTATAACCGACACTATTGCTCTTAATCCTGTCGGTTATATCCGACAGGAAATCTGACATTTTAAAGCAAAAATAGAAGCTAGCCCTTTAGCCCTTTGGCCTTTTTAGATTTCGTGGGGCCTAGGAGCCCTCTGGCCTAGCTCTCAGTTGGAGACGATTTTCGGGTTATTTTCGGCCCTTTGATCCTCTAGACCATTCGGTTGGAGATGACCTGACTCCTAATTAGTTATACACACGCCACCTTTAATTGGATAAGTACTTTTGAAATTGCTATGTGGCAAGAACATCCTTGAAGATCTTTTCTCTAACTCTTAGCTTGGATAGATTTTTAAGTGTACTTGGAACACACTCAACATATCAAGTGTCATTATACAAGTGATTGGATACTTGAAAATGAAAATTTCAAACCACTTATATTATGACAGTTGGTATACTGGACTGTGTTTCTGACACTAAAAAAAATTCTCCCTAGCATGTAGTTGTAACAAGTACTAATAGTAAGTCTACCAATTCTATTATATACTAGTATATGCCCACACACAAAGTGTGTCCAATTTTTTATTTTTGTTTTTTAATTGAAGGAGATAGGAAGAAAGTCAGAGAGAAAACATGAGAATGGGAAGTTTAATTTTTTAATTTTATTTTTTGTAAATTATCTAAACTATATATTAAAGAACCCTCTTTATCAACATAAAAAGGATAAAAAGACTATTTAATCTTCTATCACATCAAAAAAGTTAAGGACAATAAAATAATTTTACAAAACAAAATTTTGCTCTTAATAAAATAGAAGTAACATCTAGCACTCTCTTGTGAATTATGTTTAACATATTGGTAATCCAATAAGGTTATAGTTTAGTGGGGTTACCAAAAGTTATTATAGTTAGTGCCATTGAAAGGGCAAAGATTTTTTAGTTGGTGCTTTGTATAGGTGGATGTCCCTCTTACTCTGGTTTGTGTTAGGAAGTGCTTTACAGTTGCTCTATTTGTTTCAGTTTTATAGGAAAAAGTCATCAGACTTTATGCTCCTAACTTATCCAATCCATCCCCCCCAAAACAAGAAAATTTGGAATTGATTCATAATGATGTGTTAGAACAGAATTTGGAATACATTCTTAGCAATGATGTCATACCAAACACCTCTGGAAAATTCTCTAATTATCTGCAATTTTATTCTCTTAAAATTGGAATTACCTATTTGGTTTTGGCCTATTGGCACATGCTTGGAAGTCATGCCATTTGGACAACTTTTGTTTTTGGTAAAAATGGAGAACTAAAGCGAGAGGCGAATTTTGATTGTGAGTGAGATATATGCTTACGTTATCTATTTTGCTGCCCATATGCCATGTTTGGTGTCTAAAATTAGATCACATTAATTAATGTACTAGATTTAAGGTATGTCGAAGTAAGAAATAAAGGCCGACTTTTACCTCTAAATTTTGTCCAAGTTGAAGATTGGATATTTAGTTAGTGCGAATGAAATCTCACCATTTTACATGGGAATTGGAAGGGAAATGTTTCATTCATAACTAATCCATCTTTTACCCAAGTTCCAACTTGGATAAAATTCGGAAGTTGACTTTTAATTCTTCCTTCAACATACATGAATGTAGTGAGTTGTCGAATCCAAATCCGAGCCACGAAACATGAGCAGAGAAAATTGTTGTTTTAAAAGTTTGACAAAATTACTAAATCAGTGGCATAATTGCTTCTGCTAAAAACGGAGAATAATTAGAGTGAAATATGAACAGAACTACAGTAGATTTACATTGCATGCTTTATATAGCAATGTCCTAATACATATAGAAACACCCCACAATCCCCCAAAGAGAAAAAAAAAAGAAACATAAACAGAGATTTCCCCATATTTCACCCTAGTTTACAGAGAAATCTTCTTGCAGTCGAAACTTCTGCTGCCTTGCAATGAACGACTCAACCTTGCTCCGAAACTCCTCGTTACTCATGCCGTCTTCAGGGTACACGCTCCCTGCCGGCTTCCCACCAGGCTGAACGTTTTTCTTGAACTTCTCCGTCTCTGATCGTTTCAATAAGCGCCGCGAGCTCTTGCAAATCTCATGTTCTAAATTCTCTGACTGACTCCTTGTGAAGTTCTTGACTTCCAAATTTTGAGGAGCTTTCTCAGAAAGTATGCTATCCTTAGGTGTGTTTTTTATGGCCTGGTACTCAATCACCTCGCCACGAAGTTTCTGATTTTTTTCGCTGTTCTGAACAAACTCTTCATAAAGATCATCGCCCGAGCTGCCTGTGCTCGAGTCTTTAGCTGAATATCTGCCCGACTTGGCGAAGAGAACGATAACTATTACATTTCCAATGACAAACACGAAGCGAGGACTTACCATGAAGCCGGATATGTCCTTGAAGTAAGAGCCAGAGTTCTTGACAGCATGAGGGAGTTGGACAGAAAACCTGGAAAGCAGGAGCAGAACAGCAAGCACCTCAATCAACCGAAACAAGTTTGCAAGTTTTCGAAGCTGGCGGTATTTCAAGATTGCGTTCGCCTTCTCAGTTTTGATGTCATAAAAATTGACTGAATCCATTTTTTGTTAGTGAGGTTGTGTGAGAGAAATCAATGAAAAATCCGGAAAAGGGTTTCGAAGATTTTGCGTTTCTCACTCGAAAAGGATTCGGGTTTTGATAGAGGATTCGTAACCCACCATGTCCCTGACGAGAGCCAGTAGGAGCACTACTATCAGAGTAGTAGATTTTATAAGGATTTTGATCACCGGAAGCATGAAAGCAGTGGATTCAGAGTTGTTTTAGAGAGAGAGAGAGAGAGAGAGAGAGAGAGAGAGGGAGGGGAAATATAGGGTTGTGTGAGATGGGATTTTTTGTTGTTGAACACTTTACATGGTGCAGGCTTTGTATTTATAAGGCCATGGGAAGATATAAGATATTTTTTTTATGAATTCTTAGGAGACTAGCCTTTTCTTTTTCTTATATTCCCCCATTCATTCTTTTCTTTTTCTTATATTCCCATTCATTTTTGCTTTATTTTAAATCTGCAACTGCAAGTTGAGGGTTTATCCAAGGCTCCATTATACTAAGGCCATCATCCTGCTGCATGATTTTCCGGAATATGGTACACTTGACTAGGATTTAGATATAAAAGAGCATGGACAAAAACATTAGGAATAAATTAGACAAATATATGACAAGATTTTTCTTTCTTTTTCTCCAATTGATTTAACTGAATTGAACTCTCGACCTTGGCCCCTAAACCCTAAATTAAATTCTTTTTTGCTAAGGTAAATGTTAAGTTGTTCACAATTAACATAAAGTCACTTAGTACTATGATCTAGTGGTATTCCTCTTTACTTGTAAGTGAGAGTTCTAAAGACGAGTTTGAACAACATTATTGCTAGTCTATTGTGAGGCTAAGCCCTCCCCTCCCCTTTAGTGTATATAATATTATTTGTTAAAAAAAAAACATAAGAAAATAGCATGCAGCGGAATTGGAGTTTAGTTAGTTATGCACCCGACATTCTAAGTTTGATTCCTCCTTCCCCTCCCCCTCCTGTATCGCTTGCAATACAAACAAACATGAAAATACCAACTGCATATTGGCAAAATTCTTTCTAGTGGCGGAAGACGTTCCATGTTCGTTTCTTTCTTCTTATGACATTTTTCTTGTATATCTTTTGAGTAATCTTAATTGCAAAGACCTTGTTAGTATCATACTAGCACATTCTTGTGAACTCTGATTAGGTATTATTGTGCTTTGAACTAAAAGTTACTAAAAGAAAAAGTGAGAAAATAATTTAGAAAAAAAGTTTAGAAATTATTGGTTTCTTGACTTCCACAGTCCATCTAATGGAGTTCCCCAGGTGGCAAACTCAGATACAAATCCATATCCCTGTCATCTAGATTCCAGGCTCAATTTCTTACTCACTAAGAATGTGCCAAGTAAGACCTAACTTTCTCTTGCTTTAGTTCATTTCTTTTTTTCTTCAAATAACTTTTTTTAATTGCCACATTACCTTTTCTTCTTTTAGTTTGGCTTTCAGTTGCTTCCGTGACCTAATTGACCCACCAAAAATAATGGCCCTCTCTTTTACTTGTGGACCACGAGGCTGTGTGGCACGTTATGAATCACAATGTTGGTTGTTTTACACCTTCCTCCTCAATCGTGGTATTTGTCCAAAAAGATTATCTCTTTGTAAATCACATGATATGAAATAAGTTTAAGAGTAGTAAGGAAACTCTAATGAATGTGTTCTTCTGCTTAAGAAGGTGCAAAGGTGGTTTAGAGTTATACAAATAAGGAATATAGTCTTGGACTAGAAAGATCAACACACGCTAATGATAATTTTTGTTGTTGTCAAAATTAGCTCAAGCCAACTAGTATACAAACAAAGCTCGCAGTAAGTTGGTGAATAATAACGAGTCAATTAATACAGAAAGATTAATTCACGCTAATGATAATCTATAGTCGAGTGACGTAAGCACTACTACAAATTTGACGTGAGCACTACTACAAAATAAGGAATGTATCTTCGGGAGACGAACATTTTTGTTAGGGTTCTACCGCACCGCATGCCAATTTTTTTTTTGGTTTTTAATCAGTTTTTATTTTTTATAACTTGAAAAAAATAGTTATCAAATGGGGACTTAAGAATTGAAATTAATATAGAAAATAGGTTTTTATATTAATACCTTACAAAATGTTGAATGCACCACACATTAAAATTTAATATTAAATGACTTATTCCACTATGCAATGACAATTTTGACCTTATTAGGTTTAAAAAAAAGTAAAGATTTATAAATACACCCCAAATCACTTTTAGCGTATTATTTATCTTCTCAACTATCAAACATGTTGATTAAGAAAAATTGTTTTTGATGAATGGAACACGAAATCGATGTTTCAGGAGCTTCACATGAGGTAAGACTTCATAGTTTTCATTGTTTTAGTGATTTCGATGACATCGATAATTATTTAGCCCCAGTTTGGGGTTGAGGTGATTTTAAAAAAAACTCCTATGAAAAAAAGCTGGGAGTGTTTTTGGTGTTTGGTAAACTTAAAAAAAAGGGCTTATTTTAAAAGCTGCTGTGAGAATAAGCTGAAATCAAAGGAAAAAGCTGAAGCTGCAATTTGTAACTTTGGAAAACTGGCTTTTTTTCAAAGCACACAGACCTACATTGCTCCTTTAATGAAAAAACCCACTATCAGACTGCTTTTTTTTCCAAAAGCACTTTTACAAAGTTTACCAAACACTCTGCTGATTTATTTCACAGCCGCTTATTCTCACAACACAGCCGCTTATTCTCACAGCAGCTTTTTTTCAAAGCATAGCAATACCAAACCAGCCCTTAATCTTGCGTTTGCTGCATTATTTAAACTTCTATATTCATATTTATCTTTTAGTGTTCATATGGTTAGATTCAACCCCTGAAAATTAAAAATGAGTGTTATAAGATTTGAGAAATGTGGGGTGTAAAGAAAATGTGGGGTGTATGTACAAAATATAAGATGTATATTGAAAATATGGGGTGTGGGGGTATTATGGGAAAGTAAGTGGGGTGTATTAAGATAATTTTTAAGTGAAAAAACAAATATGGGGTGTATTAAGTTTGTGGGGTTTATTCAACAATTTGTGGGGTGTTAATATAATTAGCCTAGAAAATTTCTCTTATGAAAATGTTATCATTTGTTGCAAAATATTGGTTAGAATTTAGATCAAACATAGGACATCTATTACGACCCGTCAAGTTGGATATCTATTACAGTTACTTTTCTTAAAACATAGGACATTTTCATTCGAAGCACAGTGCACATAGAACTATAGAACTATAGAAGCACAGTGCACATAGCCCATGAACGTTACGGAATTATACGTAATTAGAGATTTTGGTGGACAACGACCATATACCCCATGACTCGAAAGTAGTGTAAGCGACTTTTATTAGGCTTTAGCAAAATAGAACTCGCATTACTTAATGATACCAATAAATCTAGTTTGTTCAAACACTTAATTGATTTAATTATCAACAAAATGTACTTTTGTTTAAAGACCAACGTTTAAAAATTTTGTTTGTGTTTTTTTTTTGTTTGGAACAAAAATTTTGCAAGCAAACAACAGATTATAATTGTTAATACTTGATTTTATTACATGATATTCTACACTAAGGAGAGGGAAATTTGGAACTCATAATGTAGTTGGTTAAAGAGATGGATTCTAACCATTAAGACAATCCGCCACTTACTACTAGCACACAATTTTAAGAGCACAGAAACTCTAAAGAATAAAATATTATTTACAGGGGCTTAAGACAATTAAGGACGCAGTGTGTGTGTGTTTCGCTACTCAACGTTTAAAAAATAATCAGGGGGCGGTGAGATCTTTCCCTTGTGGTGTCATTGCGGGTTTAAGGGAATTCATAGGCGTGTTTGTTGTCGTTTGTCTTTGCATGTACTTAGGTGATAGTATTGTGTTTACCTTATGTGCGTGGAGGGTGTTGGTAAGGTTTAGGCCATGTAAGCTTATTAAATTGTTGGTTAGGTATGGATATTTTGTGGCCGAAGAATTGTACTTCTGAGGAGTTTGTTATGTGCTAATTTGGTAAAGGACTATAGGGACCTTTTCCTGATGACTCAGAGCAGGGCTTCTTTGTCAAAGTACTGTCGTCCCTTGCAAGTTCATCAGAAGGTAAAGCACGCTTTTGTTCTTATGAGCATTATCTTTTATTAGGTTAGATGTGAGTGAAGTTTTGTATTATCTTTGTGTTGTGCATTTGTAATCTTGAAATTGTATTCCATGTTGATGATGTTCCTCGGTTTATTTATTAATGAAATTCTCATGTTTCAAAAAGACGTAGTCCATATGAATAAGACCAAATCGTTTGGCAAATCATCATGTGCTAACCATTGGGTTGCTTTTAATCAGTTTTGTCCTTAGTTATTAAAAAGAAAAATGTTACAGAGATCATATTTTTGTACTGTACTATAATGGTGTATCATCTTATATTGCAAGGGGTGTTTACATGCCGTGTTAATCAATTAGTTTATTTGATCGGATGTTAATTGTTCATCATATGCCACATCCTATGGTATAAAAATGTAGCATTACTCTTTTAGAAAACTTGGTTACACGTTTTACGGGAAAAAATAGTATTGTTAGAGGCTATATAGTCAAACTCTTTTAGAAAATTTTTAGTCGTATACCCACATTAGTTAGAGCAAATATGTTAAAAATGTGTGTATATATAAATTTGATAAAAGATGTGGGTCTTTACGGGAGAATATTTTTGCTTATCACCCTCAAGTGATGGTGATACTCAATGATACATAAATTTTGAAATTTAAAATAAATACTGTACTGAGCATTACCATTGCTTGAGGGTAGTGAGAAAAAATTCACTCTAATACAACACAACATCATATTTACCACAACATTTCTATCATAGGCTTTAAGAGCTCGTGGTAGAAAGGAATCAATTATCACGGTCAAAGTCGGTCTGTGGTAGATATGATTAATTAATCACGATCATATTCGCGCCCGTTGTTAAAATTGAGTAAGTTACAATAGGTATGTAA